AGCTGAGCAGCTCCAGGGAACTTCACGGGAGCCTCATGACAGAGAGCAGCTACGGGCCTGGAAAGGAGCACAGCCTGGCAGGTGCAGAAGAACGAAGGAGGACGGGTAGAAGCAATTAGGAAAGCGAAACAACTGCACGGCCCTGGAGATTCTTTAAAAGCTGTATGTATGTAAGGAGGTGGTGGAGAACAGCATTACCTTGCAGGGGCGAGGGACTCATGTTCTGCTGGGCCCTGCTCAGCACGCACGGGATGCTCGGAGCCTCCACGTTCCCCAGCTCACAAACGCAGGTGGCATTTCTGAGCTTGGGACACAGCACACACAGCACACACACCTCCAGGGACAAGTATGCACTGTATGTCACCAAACTAATGGTAAGAAAAGTCTACAGATGCACACATGTAAAAAGCCTTAAGGGAAGAAAAGAATTAATCAAATTATTACTACCAGGTATTTACATAAAGAATGGAAGGGATAAAAACAGTAAGTAGCTGTTAAATGACCTGGTTAACAAAAGCTTGGTGGGTTCATTTTTCCGTCTCCTAAGGATCCCTTCTATAGTGCTACTGGTTGTAACAGATGATATTAAAGGTCACATTGGCAACAATGGGTTTTTAAATCATGCTTTATTACAGTCCTCCAGTTACGATAATGCATTGTGGCCTGCCCTCCGCTGGGGCACGGTGGCATTCCAGCTCTGACTTCATTTAGAGCACAGTGAAGAATCGCCGTTTAATTTCAATGCAAAAAAAAAGACTTCACCAGGCTGATCTAAAAACACAGTAGCATGTTTCCAAATTTCAGGTATGAATGTTGGTAACTTCCTTCAACAATACTGAAATAAAAGGTGCTTTGCATTTACATGTCACTGACCCCTCATCTGTGTTTTTAGTATGTGACATGCTATTTCCTTATCTCATTCTAATCACTTGCCATCTGCTTAGGGATCTCCTTTGCTTCATTGCTGTCATGCTTTCAGAGTCACAAGGTAGTCTTGACAAAACAGGAGGAGACCATACACAGACCTTCAGAGTCTGTGGACAGAAATACATGCCTTTAAAAACGTCTGATTTACACAACATCAACTACTCATACAAGCAAGAGTATTGCTCATGCTCATATGCTCATCAAGTGAATTTTTAGTCAATAGTTTCTAGCCTAATACTATTACTCAATTTTGTTTTTACATTTCATCATCTGCAAATTCAGTTTATTGAAGATCATGAAAATTTTCCCCACTTCCTGACCTCAGTGTTAGACAAGTCCAATAAAACTAATTTGTATGCCACAATGACTTCTTCCATTTGAAATTAGCTCAAAAGACAATTGTGTGGGTTTGTAAACATAGCAAACAAATTAAATTGGTACAGAAACCACACTCTCCTGCGAGCTTACACATCTGACATGCTGCAAGCATCACTGATTGCAAAGAAGTAAAACCACGTTCCAGAGATGAGCTTCACCCTTTCTCAGGAAAACCACATGGCCCTTGCTGCTGCCAGGCTGCCCACGAAACACTTCGCCCAGCCCAAAGGGCAGCTCTTGCTGCAGCCCCTGAGGGAGAGGGCTGAATGATGGAAGCAAAGAGGCAAGTGTTAGGCTTGGGACAGGCTGAGTGGCATTCACCCTCTGCTCAGATGAATCATTCTAAGTATTTAAATGTTTCATAGGGTAGACTCCCTTTTAGAAGAGATTACTCAAAGTCGAAGTAAATCCATGGAAATAAATACTCCTTTCTACTCTCTCTTTATCTGTGATAGTATCTTCCTAAGAAGCTATAATCTTACAGCCACTCATAGTTCAGGTGACAGTTTCTTATTACAGACATTATTTTCCAGTAGCTTTCACTATAACCTCCCCTCCCAGGCACAAGCCTGACATTTAGCTTTGTCATCACTCGTCTGTGGAAGAGTTCCATGGGGATTTGGAGGAAGACAGCCAGTGACTTACAAAGCAGTGCAGCACGGACATTTCTTATTTTACATCAACTACAAGGGAGGAGGCATGGAAGCAATTGTAAAGCAGACAGCAGGAATCTGAGGCTGTCATTAAGAGACCACTGTGCAAGTTAAATAATTATTGCATTGTTGTTGCAGTGGTGAGCATTTTCCTTAAACCTGTGCAGTTATACAACATGTATGTAATAAAATTACTCTTATTTCTTCATCTTCTAAGATACTGTGATATGCTGCAATAAGCAGAAGCCAATGTTTTAAAATAAACTGATGACACATCACTAAAAAGAAAAAGGTCAATAACCAAGGATGTTCTTAATCAAGTTCACATGATAAATCATGAAATAACCAATACATTAATAGCTCAATGCTTAATTTACTGATTTGGGCATTTATAATCCATTTTAAGCATTGGAAAATGAAATCCATTTGAGCTCAGATTTTTTTTTTCCAGATCCTGGATGCATTTGCTTTCACTAAAATCAATATTGTTATGAGGCTGCTGTTCATATATATAAGCTTATTCCAGCTCCAAGAAGATGTGAAACTGAACATAGCTTTTGTCCCATAAACTGCCACACAGATTGCTGGGAGCCTTGCAGCCCACTCTCACCAGAGGCTGAAGCACAAGCACATCGTATGAAAAACCTCGGTGTTAGAGTGGGAACTCAGGCACCTTGGGCTGCACACAGCCGGCCGTGGAGCCTGCCTGGCCCTGCGAGGCCACCACCTGGCACAGACAGATGGACAGATGGATATATGGATGGATGGACGGACAGACAGCTGCTCCTGGGCACATAAATATATAAAATGTATATTAAATATTACAACAAAATGTTACATAAAGAAATGGCAGATTTCAGCACCGTATTCTGCCTGTGGAAAAAAGCCCCAACTCTCCAAGAAGCATTCACATTAAAGCATTCTTTTCTTCCTAAACTGAGTGGAACATTCCATACAGCACAAATATTTTTAAGTCACCTTATGCCTATTGTAAAGGTTTGCTTTTCAAAGTACTTTAAGTGACCTTTTGACATAACTCAATATTGCATCTTTTAAATCACCAAAAGCTACACTTGTGCAGCTGCTCCAGCCTCTCCATTTCCCAGAAGCAAAGTAACCAGGCTGTAATCATCTCTGCTGATCCTTCGACAGTCCTTTATTGTCAGTCCCTATAACCTGAATCTGGATACTTAAGAATTGTAACAGTTTTTAAACTTAGTGTTTTAATTTCTCAGCTTCACAAACAGGAAGCATTACTCATGTTAGCAAGTTAGCAATTTAAGTATGTCATTAGGCAACATCAAAGGGTAGGTTTTGATCTGTTAATATGAAATCATAACACATGGGATTAGCAAGATTTAGGTTATCTTGCTGTTAAATCAAGTTTTTTCAGAGAGCAGTGTAGATAGAAGCTGGGTGCCCTTTTCAGAGCTATCCCCTCTATGCTCTCCTCTTTGCAGCACAGATATTTCACCGTCTGCCCTTGCTGCTAAGCAGAAGCACGGAACCACTGCCATTTCTACACCACTTGCTCTAATCATTTCTGAGTCTAAAGCACTTAGATTTGCACAAGGCAAGCATCTGTAGATAACATCAAGAGAAAAGCCTGAGAGCAAACACCACTGAGCAGCCAATGTACCGAGAAGTGTTTGTATCGCATGTTTCTCCAACAGCAGCGAAGTTAACGGTGGCCGGCGGCTTTGAGAGCTGGCAGAGCTGCAGCTAAACACACTGCCTGGCTGCTTGGGTGCCTTGTGGAAATCGAGCCCGTTCACAGCTTTCTGAGACTCCATACAGTGACAGAAAAGGCGGTGTCCAAGGTGCTTCCATGGCTTGGGCCAGCAGAATTCCTTCCTGGCCCCCCAGGTGCCCACACTGCCAGCCTCACACCCAAGTGTTGCCCCCGCCCCGCTCACCCCGCACCACAGCGTGGGGAGGTGGCACCGGGCGGCAAGGACGGGCCCTGCTGGGACACGGTGAGCCCTGGGGCCTCGCTGCGGGGCTCGGCGGGCAGCCTCTGCCGCGGTGCTGCTCCTGGTGTTCCTCGATGGATGTTGGCTTCAGCCGCTTAGCAGCGAGCATTAATCTCTGGTCCTTTTCATTCGCTACAAGCCCGTTTTATTTGAAATTGCTTAATGCTGTTGGAAGACTAATGGCTTTACAGTTTCCACCACATTTGCCTCAGGAAGACATTAAGGAGAGGATGCTGTGAAAGGAGCCATCTGAGCTTTCATGCATCAAAATCGTGATTCAGCCAGCACCAAGCATTAGCGGGAAGCCACGGACGGCCTGTATTCCCACCCCACTTCTGCTTCCACAGCACCGCGCCTCAAACCCACCCACCTGTGGGACAGGCAGCATCCTGCTGAAGGCCGTTTCTTTTACACTGCCACATGAGCACTGCGTGTGTTTGCCCATAGCTAGACAAACCCGACCGAGCCACGCTGCTTCTCTGCAGTAACTCCTGCATGTCCTGGAGCCAAGGGGCTGCAGTGGGGCCCCCACTCCTGTGGTGCAGCCACCCCACAGCTGACCCTGCAGTAGCGGGCTCCCCACAGCACAGCTTGGATGGAAAAGCTGGATTTGGTTTTTGTAGTTTCAGGTTTGAAGCTTTTTCGAAAAGCAGGGCTATGCATGGCCACAGCCTTTCTCCTTCCTTGCGAGATTAACGCTTGAACTTTATGATCTTAGAGGTCTTTCCCAACCTAACTGGTTCTGTAATTCTTCCCACCAGCAAGAATAAATCCAGCTGGCAGCAGGTGGGACCCTTCATTCGCTTCTCAACAATACTTGCCAAAACAAAGCAAGTGCCTAGGAAGGACAAAGATATCCTAAAATCACACCTTACAGTAGCTGAGAGGGCACAATTTATTTAAAAAGTCAGCCTGCAAGTTGCCGAACTGCTTTTCTTTACCAAAAGAATTATTTCAACTGGAAGCTTATTTGTGAGACTGTCTATCCTGCAATTCTTGCATGAACACATCAGGAAGTGAAGTAACAGTGCAGAAATGCATAATCTGAGAATAACTTGAAACAAAAACAGCAGTTAAAAGTTCAGCTTTACTTATATGGACTAGCATCAAGACAAGACATAGAAAAGTAAAAACATTAAGCCTAGCCTTGCGGCCACCTTGCCTGTGACATCGCCCATGTGCAATAGCTTATCCTCAGGGTGAAAGTTAAGTAGCCAGGTCAGACCCTGGTGTTCCTGATGACTTGCTGTAAAGCTGTTTTGAACAAATAAATAAAAATGTAAGTATTTAAGTGTGATTTACCGCACACTTCATATGCCATTCTTGGACCTTGGGGTATTGTTGAGGTGATAAACAAATAAAAGAGTGCATTTGGCTGGCTTACAGGCTCTTAAAGAATTAAGTTCCTCCTGGGCTTCACAAGGAGTATTTAGCTTAAATACTTTTAGAAAGCGTGAGTCAAACTGAAAGTAAGCAAAAGTCAAGTGAATTAGTATCTCTGTCTCTGTCGAGGTCAGCAATTAAAAAATGGGCTGGCTGTGCCAGCTGAGCCATGAGGGGCACGGTGCTGACCCTCGCCAGCAGCGAGGTCTGAGAGGTCAGCTTCCAGACCTGTCCCCAGCTCCGCAGGCAGCCGGCCTTCACCTGGCCCAGCACTAAATCCCCAGCAGTCAGATGCACTTCGGGCATCCCATCCTTCTGCAAAGCTGGCCTTGTGAGGGACCGCTGGAACAGCACGGCAGTGCTCTGCTCCTTCTGTCCCACCACAGGTGCCAGTGGCAGTGGGCACAGCTCGACCTGCAGCTGAGCGGGGCCACGGCCCTGCTGCTGCTGGCCCCTGGGGACGGGCAGCGCCCCAGCACCTGCCACCGCCACCGCCACATCACCTGAAAGTGGGGCACAAGCCCACTGAAATACCCCTCCCAAAGTGCCTGCCCCAGTCTGCACAAGAAGTGTGTTTGGCTGTTACAACAAAACTGGTTTCACTCTCTTCTGCCACTCAACAAGTTGGACGTGCTGGTCTTCCAGGAGTCTGCTCCTCCGTGCAGCCACAGCTCCACTCGTCACCTCGCAGCCCTGGTGGCCGCCTTGTCAGTGCTGTCCCTCCACCGCTGTGCTTTTACCTTCAGCACCGTGAGCTGCAGGGGGGCTGAGGTTTGCTAGGGTTGAAAAAAAAAGAAGTACACTTGTACATTTTTCAGGCAGCTGCTGTGGTGGTGGTTTTGGAGTCAAGCTATCGTTTCCCCCACCCTGCAGCCCCCATGGCCGGGACCAGATGCCCCCCCCAAGGCAGACCCCGCTCGCTCCTTCCACGCTGCCACAGCGCCAGCCAGCGCAGCGAGCCCGCGACTCCCAAGGCAGGGCCCAGCCCAGGCCGCTCCCTTCCCGTTTTGGAGAGCCGAGTGTCCCCGGCTCGCGGAGCTGACTCCTTGCTGGCACCGGCCTCGCTCACTGCACGGAACATTTATTTTTAGGTCGCTGACCGCCATTAAAACATACTTGGACTATTTTCAGTCTGACTCACCACTGAATCGCTGTTCTTCTGGAGGCCAAGCTCTGTCCCCACCCAAAGTGAAGGAAGGCAAAACAAAACGAAACGAAAAGAACTGGACCAGGACCAAAGCCCTTCAAACGAGCCTCCAGCCGCACCAGCACTGTGCCCAGAGCGGGGTCAGGGGCACCCAGGGAGGGCCCGCAGCCCCAGCACGGCCACCGTGGCAGCAGGGGCGACTCGCGCTGCTCGGCCCCATGTTCACAGCACCCCCATCACGGTCCCCACCTGAGCTGCCACAGGCTGCCCACGGCCCCTCTGCCACGTACCCACAGCAGAAGGCGCAGCAGCTGTCCCACCTGGTGGCCGGGGCACTGGATGGCCAGAGGCCGGTGTCACCGTTTGTCCCCACACACAGCCCCAGCAGCGGGTGGGTGCTGCCTGCTCATGGCTCCCTCCCTCACATCACTCCTCCATCAATGGTTCGGTTTTTAACTCAAATGGGTTCGTTTTTTAACTCAAATTCGTCTGTTAACTGCTCAGAACAATTAAACAGAGACCAAGCACACGTACACTGCTTTAGGATGGAGACATTAGTCTTAGCACCATGAGTAGGAGAGGGGATGAAGCCCTCAGCACCAGGAGACTGGCTGACGCATGGCCCCGAGGCAGGGCAGCACATGCAGAGCTCCACACCTGGCCTGTAGGGTGAGACACGGTCATTCGCGAAGGGCATTGAGCTCTGCCCTTCGAAAAACACAAATGTGCATCTGCAGAGAGTAACTGTATAGGGAGGGAAAAATTCTCCTCATATATTAGCCTTTTCGGAAAGACACTTTCATGTTTTCTAGTCAAATGCCCTTTATTGTTTCATTTTTGCTATTATTAACTTAAAGACAAGAAGCACCATAGTAAGACAGTCCAATGATCAGAATTTTCACTAATTGGCTGGGGAAGATGGAAGTAGTTGGGGATTTTTGACATGCTGCTTAACCCACTGTAGGAAGCGGGATTATCTCAGCAAGAGATAGGGAACCAGAGCCTAATGGGTCACGAAATTACCTGAGGTGCCTTGGCTTTGTCTAGGAGCTCCTAAGCTAAACAGAAAATACTTTTGCCAAGTCTGAGGAAATGGTCAGCGTCTGCAGCAGCATCAGAAATCAAAACAGGCTAAGTGGAGCCAGCTGTGGCCACTCATGCAATATTCAGTTTAGGCTAGACAGGACAAAGGCTGCAAATGGGCACAACCTTGAAATATCAGGGTTAGAATTCATATGCTTTGTTAATCAGTATCACCTAATCAAGGTAAGAACAGACTCAGAAATAGAGCTCCACTGGAATAGTATTTAAATATTCACTTGAAATACCTAAAAGCTAAAGCAACTCACCTGTCCCAGTCTCAGTCCCAGTCCCAGGGGAGCAGTACCCCACTGCTGCCAGAGGTTGGTTGGCTCTTGGTCAGCTCCAAGAAAGCTCGGGACCTGTTTGGTTTTGCTTCACCCCGATGGGAAGCGCAGAGCCGCCTGTCCTGAAGCACGGCTGGCTAACAAAGGCCATCCAAATTCCTCTCTAGGTTTCTTCAGCTCTGTCACTCACAGAGGCCCCTTGCCCCATGTTGTCCCAAAGCCAGCTCTCACTGACCTCCACAGCCCACGGGGGGCCACGAGCCCAGCTCTCGTGCAGGGGGCAGTGGCGCTCTCCTGGGGAGACCTGTGGGACCTGCTCCAGGAGCTGCAGGCAGAATAGATCCACAGGTAAGGTGCATCCTTAAAACGTTATTGGTGTCTTAATGGAGAAATACCATTTTCCTAATTTAACAAAGATTTATAACTGGAAGAACAAATCCAGAAGTGGGGAACTACAGCAGTATCAAAAAAGTGCATTAACCATATGGAAGTGGCTGCATTCAATCATAAAAATTATTCACTTGTGTTCAGTTGCACAGACTTTAGCAATATAATTGTGAGACTATTGAACTTTATTCCCTCTTGCTTTTGCTCTAAGTCCAGTCAAGCCTGCTGCAATGCTGTTTCCAGCCACAGGAGAGCACAAAGATCTCGCTCTCTGGGAAGGAGCTGAGCAGACCAGGCAGCGGGCGCTGGAGCCCAGCCTGCGTCCTGCAGCCTGCTCTGCTCCCAGCCAGCCTGCTCTGAGCCGGGGCGAGCCTGCACGAGGTTCGCTCACTGCGCTACGCGAGCTTTCCCTTGGATCTGCGGTTTAAGACGATTATTGCCATCTCTTCTGTCCCCTATGTGTCTAATATTAGCGATGTGCATAGCACAAATGTTCTCTGCCAGATTTTCCTTCTAGAAAGAACAGTCCATTCTGCTCAAGACTGTATAATTCATCGTTCACTTCCATTCTAAACAAAACAATTCTAAAACTTAGTTATATAAATAACATTTTGTTTGTTTGGCTATATGTTTTTATGCCTAATTCTTCACATGCAGTGAAGTGAGACTTGCCATTCATCGTTACTGTCGATATGCTACTCTGACCTCACCAGTCTGCCCTGAGCAGCAGGCTGCTTTAGGCTAGCTCCTGACGTCCTATTATAGCATACATTCACATTATGAGGTGGAAAACAGTTTCCTGGGATTAAACAAAAGCTAGTTGCTTTTGTACAAAAACAAACAAACAAACAAAAAGGTGCAATATATATATTAAAAAAAAAAAAAAAAAAAGCACAATAATAAATACCTGTCCTGAGAAATCTCAGAAGATGCCAGTTTTACGTACGGCCTGGATCTGTGAATGCTACAAACCTGTATCATAAATAGTGCTGGGAAAGGCAGTTTTCAAAAGCATTGAAATGTATAACCCTGATTTTCAGAAGTTTTGGGGTGCCAGTCACAACACGCAGGCTGCCGGGGGAGCTCCATCGCCGCCAGCTGGGCTGCTCGGAGCCAGCACCCAGCCCTCAGGTCACCCACCTCCCGCAGCTACACAAGTCAAAAGGTGATTCTCTGAGAGGTGTTCCAGCGTCACGGGCACTGTTGTGAGTTCTTTTCCCCAGAAGAAAACTACAATACATTTAACCCTAAAAATGGAATACTTAACCCAATCGTGGATGTTCTGGTCATAGCTTCCTTTGTTCCAGGCTGGGGTTTTATAATGGCACCCTCAGCTGAAAAATTACTACTTAGTGGTATGTACAATGGTCCTTAAAAAAAAATAAACAGGAAATATTTATAATGGAAATTCAAGTGGAGCCTTATCTATCCCAAGCCATGCTGTCATAACACACGATGGATCTTTTTTCCATCACTGACAGAGCAATTTAGAGATTTGTGTGTGCAGATTTGTTGCACGGCATACAAACAAAGAAAAGAACATTTTAAGCTCATTTCCTCCTAGTCAAAACCCAGGTTAACAACTTGCCACACACCTGGGTTCCAGGGCAAAGGGTAGGAACAAGGTGGTAGCCGATAGCTGGGCACCGCTTCCCCGGGGCAGGCTGTCTCCTGGGCAGGGATGGGGACGCTGCAGGGAATGGGCACAGGGTGAGGCCGACCCCAGCACCGCACCCGCCACATTCAGCTGGACCCTGCAGCACCCCTGGGCTCCTGCAGGCAGCTGGGTGCCCAGTCCCTGATCTTCCCCCCCCATCTCTCCCCCATTTAGCTGAACAGGGAAACTGCAGACATAATCGGCTACTGGACATCAACAGCAATAGCACAAAGGAGGCTTCTGTTTTTTAACAGGGTGCAGAGTTTATTATCAGGCAGTTGTCAACGAAACATTTGCACATAACTGACACGCTGGAAGCCAGAAATGAAGTTGTCTCTGATACGAGGATGGCTGGGGGGTCTCCCTTTGTGCCCACAGGGGTGGCAGCACCGCCGGCACCCCAGGCTGTGCTGGGAGGAGGGGGCTGCCCGTGCCCCATGCCCATGCCAGGCCCTTCCCACGCTGCCAGTACTGCTGTGATGGGCCCACGCCGTGCCCCTCTCATGATGGAAGAGTGGAAGTCACCAAAATAGCACATCCGTGATGCCACCAGCACAGATCCAGCAAAGCAACAGGGTCCACAAGTGCGTTTTCACTTCATGTGCAAACACTGCATAAAACACGTTCTTCACTTCTCTCCCCCCTTTTGTTTTTTCCAGTCGTCATTCATTTCACACGTTGCTGGTTTTCTTTACACTTTGATTGCATCAGTCTTTTCAGTATCTGTTTTCTCTCTGGTAGATTTCCTGTAATACTTTTAGCATTTGCTCCGCCTCCCCCCCAGCCCTGCCCAGACAAGAGCAGCTGTATTCACAAAAGCAAACGTCCCATGCTCTGACCGTTTCATAGGTTTTTTCACCCCTTGTATTTGAAAGCAGGTCAGTCACTGGACAGCAAGTTTCTACTGCTTTTCTTCTTCCCCACTGCAATGATTTTGCAGGGATACCAGGCAGAGAACTGGCTCCGCATCAGCTTCCATTTCGTTACTGGAACAGTTAACAGAGTCCTAAGTGTGAGGTCCAAGCACTGCTCCGAGCTGTACGTTCTGCTCTCACTTAGAGATAATTGCATTGAAGTTAAGTAAATCTATACTTTGACTTTAAAGCTAGATTCAGCTTGAAGAAGTAAAAATTAAAAAATGTATTGTTTTACATCTTAACTAAGAATTGCCTTTGTGCATCGCTAGGACCTCAACACCGGCCACCGCTGGCATTTTGGCAGTCCCTGCTGGCAGTGCGAAGGAACCTGCGTGCGTGCACACACAGCATCACAGCCTCAGCGCTTCCATGAAATGCCTCTAAGTCCAGCAGCCAAATCTTACGGCTCTGCACCCCTTGCCATCATCACAAATGGAAATAGCAACCTGGTCACCAACTCCCTGCTGGCAACACCAACAAAAACTCCACCTAGCTGTTTGCATATCCTCCTTTCTTGCCACATCCTAGATGCAAGCCCAAACCAACCAGAAGCGTGAAGTGGCTCAGCTTTTTATTCAGAAAAGTAAACCTCCCATGAGCTGCAGAGTTTGCAGAGGGGGCAAGGAAATCACTTATGCAATGAAAACTCAACACTGAGCCCCAGTCAGCGTTGAGCCAATATCATTGCTTCCAGGACATTTTATCCAAGTCTAGGTCCAGTTCAGCATCAACTTATGGGTCACAAAGAAGCTGTGATTGAACAATTTTTTCTTCTAAGAATGCCACAATGATATTTTATTTGGAATATTAACAGACCACAGTGTACTCTGTTATGAGAGTACCGTGTCCTGCTGTCTGTTGTCATTGACATTACTTCTGTCCTACTGAAATTAAATTAGCAGCAGGAGGTTTACTGTACACTAAGGTAACAAGTGCATTTAGAGAAACACAATCAGCTTGTGCATATTCTATAGTCTAAATACAGCTATCTACAAAAATTGCACTGTACATTGGTGAAAATTCTCCCAGTTTTCCTCCCGTCTCCCAGCATGAGAGTTCTCCTTACTAGTTCATTTGCTGGGGGTTGTGAACCTGCTCAGGAGCTGCATTACTTTTGCCATCAGCATCTCTCTGAAGTGGTCACCCATTAAGAAATAAAAAACAGGATTAATGGCACTATTTAAAAATGCAATGGGTCTTGTGACAATGTAAATGTCTTTGATGATGTTCTGTGTGCACGCAGACATATTCAAGGCTGGTATTCGGGAAGCAATTCGGACATTGCGCATTATGTGATAGGGAGCAAAAAGCAATGAAAAGGTGGCCAGTGCGAGAATGACTAAGGTAAGGGGTTTTTCAAGTGTCAAGAAAGAACTGATTTGCTCTCTCCACTTTTTAAGAAAAAGAAACATCTTCACATAGAAAAAGCACATAATAGAAAGAGGGATGAGGAACCCAAAGATAGTCAGAAACATACTATAGATAAGGCTTTTTCCAGGGTCTCCAGAACTTGCATAATCTAGACATTTGTAATTATTGGTAGTCTTTTCAGTGTCCAGGAAAGCCATCAATGGCAACAGTTCCAATATCACCAAGATCCATACGGCAATACACACGATAAAGGCTGTTTTCTTCTTCTGTAGAATATGTTCTCTGAAAGGATATTTTATGAGCAGGTACCTGTCAATACTGACGACAGTAAGGAAAAGGATGCTGGTGTACAGGTTTGCATGCAACAGGAACCTGTTGCTATAGCACAGCGTGTTCGACTCTACCCAGTAGCCTCTGGAGTAGCCGTTCACAAGCACTGGTAATGTACACAGAAACAATAAATCTGATAATGATAAATTAAACAGGTAGATGTTGCCACTTTTCCAGTCTTTCAGGCAGAAAATATAGCCAAGCACCACAATACTGTTTCCAATGAAGCCTAAAATGAACTCAAGGCTATACATGGTGGAAAGATAATACTTTTCTAGGGTTTCGCTGATCTCACATCTGCCTGTGTTGTTCACAGCCTGGAAAATCAAAACAAAACAAAACATTGCATTGTAAAAAATCATTGCATTGTCATTTTTATATTGTTGCTGCAATAGGTGAATATAATGCACTGCTTCCTTACAGCTTGGATGGTAACTAGATGTTTGAACTTGAAGAACATGCCTTATGCACAGAAGATTTCTACTTTCAGCTACTGACCAGGGCTACCAAACAGTTTGTGTGAGCAAAAAAACTGCACAAGGATACTGAGGTAAGAACATAACCTGGAGGCATCTGCTGCAGCACAACAGCTGGGCCAGGCTCAAGCAGGAGCAGAGGCTGGTGAGGCTTACCAGCCAGCAGCTCGTCACAGCCCTTGCTGAAAGTCATCTGCCTCCCTCTTACTCAACTTCCGACCTGTGGCCTCCTCTCTCATCACTAAGCAGAAGTCCACTTTCCAGAAGAATAAAGAATGAGCTCATTGGCAGCAGCACGGCTAAGCTCTGACAATATTTCTCAGAATTTAGAAACTGTTTATTAGATCTATTGAGCCATTCATTATGTACTTCGTATGTTTTTGTTAGTAACTCAGCACCAGAATGGCATGGGAGACGTGCAGCTGAAGCACGCGTCCCCTGCATTGCGACAGGAGATCTGAGCCATCCCTGTGGAAAGAGGGCGTTTCTGCTCCTGGGGCTTTACAACTCTTTTCTCATATCTTTCTACAAAAAGCCCTTTCAAGAATGGATGGTTAAACTACAGCTGATGAGTAATAGTTGATATGAAAGCTACTGTGGTTAACAGGACAATACAGTGAAGTCCAGGATAAAAATTTTGCTTTGAAAGAGTTTTAAGTTATTTTTGATGGGAAAACACCATGTATGATTTATTCAATCACAATTAATAACTTCTGCTAAAACCTTCTGCAAAGAAAACGAAATCCTGGGTAACTCAAGTGCTGTGCCCAGCACATGGCAAAGCGCCCCGCGTCCCTCCCCACTGCACACAACGGGGCACAGCCAAGCCCCGAGCCCCTGCTCTGCTGCCACACCCCCGACAAAAAGCTTTGCCTTTTTGCTCGGAAGGAACACAGTCAGCGAGTAAAAAGGAGCATAGATTCCTAGGAAGCTGCACCACGTGTCAGTTTGCTTGAGGAAAAAAATTGTTTCTTTTTTAAGGTTGGCTAAACGAATGCTTTCATTTCAAAGAAGCAGAGCAGAATCGCAGGTGCTCACTACCTTCCTCCTCAGGTCAATGCACACATACTCACCTGCAGCGGTGTTACAAGAGGATGATAAGCAAGAGCCTTCTGCTAAAACATCAGCAAAACAATTAGAAAGCAGGGGAAAACAAAATGTTAGAAAAAGAGGAAAAAAAAAAAAAGATTAGAGCTGAAATCAAGCAAAGTTGCAGCTCTGAATGAGCATCAGTGTGACTGCTGCAAAATCTGCTTAAGCTAGGATAATGACATGATCTGCATAGAACAAGACTTTTCAAAGTTGTTCTTGTGCCTAGAGTATAACTGAAACCACAGGTCTTGTGATCTGCCTTTAGAATAAGTACCGCACATAGAAAACTTCATAAAGCTACAAGCAGCAAAAGCCAGCACTTTCACAGCATCTCTCCAGCAGCAGAACCCCTGCAGCCACGAACGCTCCCTGGGCTCCCACAAGCTCACCAGCAGCCTCGCACCCAGCCCTGGCTCATCAGAGCCCTGCGAAGGTGCGCCAGACTTCAGCACCAGCTTAGTTATAGAAATGACTGCGCAGTCATCAGCATTTTAAATGCAAGCAATTAGAAAGTCAGTGTATTGACTGACACATTGATGTAGGTGGCTGTTAAAGACGGGCCAGCCGACTTCCAAGCAGTAAGCGTGAGGTAGCACAAGAACTCCCTCGGCAGCGGTCTGGCCACAGGAGCACAGCAGCTGAGGGCACGGCGCGCAGCTTACCATGCCGAGGGCTGATCCCCGCGTCCTGACAAGCACGCGCTGACCATGCCTTGGATCTGTTGGATCACCGGAGCGCAGCACCGCATAGCTGCTTTAGCCTCGTTTGCATATGATTCAGTCATTAATGAGTCACGGCCAAGGAGCAATTTGTTTGGCTAAGCAGCGCCCAGGGGCAGCTTCAGCGGGAGGAAGGCGCTGCAAATTTGCGGAGCCGAGAGGAACAGGCGAGCACTTCCTCCTCGCAGGCCCCATCAGAGCTGCCCGCAGCTCGGCAGCGCCGAGGCAGAGCTGCCGCCGGGGCTGTGCCACCAGGAGCACCTGCGGGAGGCCCAAGCCACTAACGTGATTTCGGCTAACACAATCCTGGCTTGGGCTCATCCCGGACCAGGGATCAGGATCCGAGGTCCCCAGGCCTTGCTCCAGTGGGCCAGCCTCGTGCGAGCCCCTCATGCGCTGCAGTTCCCAGCGAAGACAAGGGGAGCACCTGCTTCCCCAGACATGTGGGGGGCACACAGCTGCTCACAACACACCGGGAGCCTCGCGGAGGCTTCAGGAGGGCAAATCCCAGTGTCTGGCCTCCTGATCAACTTCAGCATCCCAGAGAGCAGCAGAACAGGCAGGGCTTCTGCCTTTTGAGACCAATGCAACAGGTGCAATAGCTCAGTGGGGCTCAACAGCTAGCGAGCCGACTCAGATGTTTTAATTATATTAAGCATTGTGCTAATGAAAAACACCTGGGTTTTATACAGTAATACATCTTAACTTTTCCCTTTTAGCTCTGTCTCCTCCTCTACTGACACCTTGGTCACAACAGATTTAGAGCTGTTCAGAATATTGAGAACAACTTCTGTAATAAGCATGTTCATCCAGCATGCCATGGCAAGTTGTGGTTTATTCTTTTTCTGCTAAAAAACCTTTGCATGAAACAACTGAACAAAATATTCAGTGAAAGTGGTTACAGTGAAAATAGCATCACACAGCCAGAATACCAGCTGTGCACATGGTGTGCTTCTAGGGCACCCAGACAGACCTGCGCTTCTTTGCTAAGGTTTCCAACATGGGCAGTACAGAGACTTTAATTTCACAATGTTGCTGCAAGTCTGGTACCTCTAAATACTCGGGCAACCAGTAAGTGACCGCTCTAACCTTGAAGAGATCCAGGCCTGGAAGGGAAGACAGAGATCATTTGGGGTGAGGCAGACTAGAGGTGCAAGGAGCAAGCACGAGCCATCCCAAAGCACTCTTGCAGCCCGGTGAGCATGCACCACGGTGTCCCGCGGGGAGCTGGCAGCAGGGGCCCAGGCCTGGACACAAAACTCACTGACCTGGCATGAGGGAGACACGTCACTCAGCTAGGAGCCCTCATTCCCAGAGCCTTGTACAGCAGTCGGCTGAGAGTGTCCTCGGTACAAACCTTTTCACTGAGAACAACCTGCTGCAATCATCACCAAGTCAAAAAGCAATCCACCCCTAGGTATTACAGATGTACATGGTGTTTCTCAGGCAAGCTGCTGAAATGTTGCTTCCAGAGATTTAATCCTACAGCTCCCAGTCACTCTGAAGCAAATCTTCAGAAACTGATGGGCATTTAGTCAGAGATGAGGGCAGACTCGGGCTGTAAGTTAATGCTATGCTTTAAATTCATTGGATTCTTTAGCGTCCTGGAGGCCTTAAAGAAGAAAGTCAGGCCCATTTGTTGTCATTAAATACCCATTAGCTGGTTTATATTAAGACTGAGGCCTATCAAACGAGCCATGCATATTTAATGGTTTATTATGATGAATTTGCATTTGACTCACTGGAATGCGTCATTAAGGCTGACCTTGAGTGAAATGTGGTGCCTCTCCTGCAGAGGCTTTTAAACAGGAGATGCTCATCCCCACTCAGGATTTGTCCCAGGAAGGAAAACAGAGCAGGGAATTTTCTTTCAGGCTATAAATTAATACTGCGGGCAATAAATTTATACCATGCTCTGACTACTAGGAAGCCACAGAAGAGAGCTTTGTGATAACAAGAGCAGTGCCAATGGGCCAGCAACGTGTGTTGCTGCTGCACGCCAGCCCACACAGCACTGGGCAGAGCCTGGAAAGTGTAGCAGCCTAGTACTGCTCCTACCTGTGTGCAAAGAACGGGTAGGATAAGGTGTTTACTTCTGTTTATTTGTCACTTACTTGCGTTAGCCCAGCAGCACTGGGTTTACCCATGTCTCGGGACAAAAGTGACTTGCTTCAGGCCCCAAGCCCGACCCTTAGCACGTAACTCAGAGGTGCATTCGCCAGCTCTCATCTGAAAAACCTCCAGGCCTCAGGCTCTGCTGACAGCCAGCCCCGGTGCTGCAGAGCCCGAGCTGCGCCAGCCCCTGCTGCAGCACTGAGGCTTTGCTAAAAACACTGTTCGAAGAGGTGAGCTGTTGTATCTGGCTGCATGGTCAGGTGAAAAACATCAGGAGTTACAGCAGCAGAGCCAGCCTGCTGCAGTGTTTGGCCAAGCCCTGTAACCGTTTTCATAGTGCAGTATATTTGATGGCTGACTAATTAACCCAAGCACAGGGAGCATTATACTACAGGAGCCTTCTGAAGCTGTTTCTGTGAACCAGAAGGTACATTTTTTCCACCACTGCCTTGAAGACACAATGGATGAGTGCTCACCAGCTCCTGAAAGCAGCTGGGTCACAACGCCAGACTGCGGGCAGGTGCCAGGCCTAGGAAGCAGCAGCAAGCGGCTAAGGCCTGAGGGAGGCACGGAGCGCAGGCAGACAACAGTGGGCTTGTGCTAAGGGCACGGCAAGAAGAGGGCTGAGCACTCCAGGCTGACCCCAGCAGCGAGCCCACCGGCCGGCTCCTGCAGCTGCTGGCCCCAGACAGCCCCCCGGGGATGGCGGGCACGGAGCTGCTCTACAATTGCTGCGGGCAGACACGCAGCAAGTGCAATAAGCAGATAAAACCCAAATGAACCCACGCCTGTGGATGATCTGGATGAAATTCTGCTTTACGACAGGAACACATGAGCAAACCCGCGGTGTTATGACTGTGTGTAGAAAGTTATTTGCATAAAGTGCTTCCATAATGCACATCTCGTAAGCAACAGCCTCCCTTAGCACTTCGCCATCTGTTATTTGGAATTGTACTAATTATATCCAGGGTGTGAAGATGAGGAAAGACATGAAATTGCCTCAATTATTCAATTAAATTTTGTTCCCTGAAGGAGTAGATCTTTATTAACAAAGTATGCCTCAAGAAGTCTAACACAGCTTTCTTTGGCTCCCTCCAAGCCACAAAGCCCTTCTTGCTGAGCCCTGTCCATGAAGGGGAGGAAGGGGCACCTGCTGTCCTCAGCTGCTGCACGGGAGATTCACACTGGAACCTTCCCCCTCCTCTGTACCATATGGTACATACGTATAACATATCACCTATACATACCATACACATAACTATTTCTTTTTGATGAAGCATAGATGATAACTGCATGTAATGGAAGGCTTTGCGAATAAATAAATAAATAAATAAATAAATAAATAAATAAAGAGGAAATCCTGGAGAAGTTAATTGCAAGATCTTGATAAACAGAGTGAAAGAGCCTGAATATCACTATGATTATTTTCAAGTTGGAGAAAAACGTGATTTGGCTAATTAAAATCCTATTTTCTTTTTTTCTTATTGTCTCCTTTCTTTGGGATGCCTTTCAGGTTAGCAACTACTAACCTGATTAGTATCTGGGATAGAAAAATGTATTCTAGTTTTTCTCTAAAGACAATTCCAGTAAGTCAGGTAATACGTAAGCATTAAAAAACTGCTTTAGAATTTCCCAAGTGGTTGATAAATAGTATTTGCTTCTCACTTACCAGATTCTAAATATTTTACACATTCAGGCAACTGCTGCTGCACTCAAAAGAATCTGAATAAATGAAGTGTTTCTTCTACGTGGCAGCACAACTCCAAAGAAATAGTAACAGAACAATAAAGATAAACTTCCAGAAATGTACATGCACTTACTGCTGCCAGGATTTGCATGTGCAAACAGGCAAACTCGGGTGCGTTTGCAAATAGAGTTACACGCCACTGCTGCATGATAAAGCAATTTTCAGGGAAGATGAGCAGTCTTCATGTGCCGGTGACCACCAGTTTCAGGACCAGGAATACAAAAGCCACTGCTTTTGACTACAAACAGCTCCGCCCTTCTGGCTGTGAATACACCCGATTTGTTGCACGGGGGTATTCATTTTTCATAGCTTTAATCCTCAGCGTTACGAGCATGAAAAAAGTACAGGAAAGAAAAATTATCTCAAAGAAAAATACCTTTCAAAAAATTGTTAATTTGCTTAATATCACTGTTTTTCCACGTTTGTCCCAGTTAAATGCATCTATGAATACTGTATAGATTCGTTCTCTTTCTGAGCACAGTTCCCTAGCCCTGGTTATCCTGAGGCCACAGACTTCACAAAGCTGTTAGTCACAGGGACTAACCATATCGGCCTCTGTAGTCACATCGGCTTCCAGTAGGTTTGCCAATAAGGCATACCTGGATTAACATGTGTCTCTGCAGCAGTTTTTGCTGCCGCCAATGTAGCTGTGTCCGGAGCAGTGCGCAGCAGCTGGGACACGCAGCTGGGGCAGGTCCCTGTCCGCAGGGTGCCGCACGGCCGTGGTGCACGCTCTGTCCTCTGCTGGCATTGAGGCCAGCATGAGGCTTGCCCCTCTTGGTGGGATCCGCAGCATGCCAGCCCAGCTCCTTGGGCAGCCCTTAGCCCTTAGAGGGAGCCTCGCTCGCTCCTTGCTCCCAGCACATTCCAGCCAAAGCATCCACAGCAAGTTTGGTAACGCTGCTAGCCCTCTTGCTTAAAAAAAGATTTTCTCCTACCTTGCAGGCACAAAGCCTTCCCAAAGGTAAGAACGGTCATTTCTAGAGGTGTCTCACTCTTCTCCTTGCCAACACCTTTACTGCTTTATCTCCTCGATGCCTGCACATTCGCACTCCCCATGTTTAACCACGCTGCATTAAGGCACAACTCCCCCTTCTCCACCACCTCTCCACACTCCCTTCTCAGTGATAACCACCTGCTGATGGCCAGCCTGCCTCCCCTGCTGATCACTTCCCTACGTGTCTCCTCTCATGAGCATTGACCAAAGAAACTGAGCGGAGGCAAGGCTCCACAGCTGCAGCTCCTCCGGCAGCTCCCAACAGGCTGCCCCACACCACAGCCCCCCTGCAAGGCTCGGGATGCAGGCAGGAGGCCTCGGGCACCCAGACCCTCGCTCAGAATCCCCCGTGCAGCACAGGGCTCCAGGGGCCCAGCACAGTGGTGCCCATGGAAAAGGGAAACACAGCCAAAATGCAGCAACAGCAGCATAAGGTGGGGATGGATGCCTGCTTCCACACCCTGGGCTTGGGCACATCCCCCTCTGATGCAAAGGAAGTAACTTCCCTCTCTAAATGTTCTCTTAAGCCCGTCTTTTTTTGCTGCTTGTATGGGAGAAAGAATAAATCAGTAAGAATAAAACAGCAAGACTCAGAGAAAGGATCACCTAACTGAATAAAAGCCAACGTGTTTCATCCTACTGACATTTGCAGCACTGGAAATACCCTAACTTACTGTGTTTACTAAAGGATGTTTGTTATTCTTTTCTAATAAAAGGAATACATGAACAACAAGAAGTACACTGTAATCAGAAAAGTTTAATGTTTATATTCAACATAATGAAGATGAAAAATACAGCAATCTGACAATTCCATCTGAACAGGCTGTATACACAGTTGGAAACAAACAACAAGAAAAAAACAGTATTCTTGCAGATTCAATCTTTTACGCAAAAGACGAAACAGGATGTTAGAAGTATTTTTGGTATTTTGCGATCTACCTAAAATCAATAGCTAATCAATATGCGCACTCATTCACAACTTCTCATACTTGTGCTTAATACAGAACACATTTCTATTGAGGATATTTGTTCAAGACAGAACTAAATTGTATTTCTTCAAGCCTACAATACTGCTAAGTTAATTTCATTTTAAAAATTCATATGCAAAAGTTACTAAACAGCTTTAAGTATTATGTGTTCTAATTATCCTTGTTTAGTAAGTAGAACATAATTACACAGCAGTGTTACTTTAAGGCTAGGACCTTTGCAGTCTTTCTTTATCTGATGGGCATCCAGTGCTGTTCTGTTACACTATTTCCTTCTAGTACAGAGCTTAATGAAGGTAATTACTGAGTAAGAGCGATGCATATTTTTAATATTTGCACTCTACCACAGCCATCCCCTTCAGTTCTCTAGTGCTTACCTTGAACTGTGCTGCAGGGACAACAGCACAGACACCAGACGTGCAGTGGACAGTGTTTCACAAGCAAACTGCCGTTTGTTACATGAGATCTGGTCTCTGCACCTCTGCTCGCACCATCTGCCCACAGCAGCACAGGGTCCTCGCCAGCACACCCCTTGGACGAGGGGGCAGGAAACAAGTGGCCTCAGATTGCCTTTTGTGTGCAAATGGCTACGCTGCACATTTGCACAAGCCTATTGCCACGACATTGAAATAGGAAGAAGTGAGAAAACCAACCTCACGTCCTACACTCCACACCAGCCGAGCCTGCAGTGCAAGCAGCGGAGCTCAGCCAGGGGTTCCTCAGGCCCAGGCAGGCTGTGCAGAGGCAGGGTCAGGCACAACAACCCTTTTGGCCTTGGCCAGGAGAGAAATCCCAGGGCAGTCACTTTGTTTTAAGCTCAGAAGAAAACACTGAAAGAACACATAGGATGAATCAAACTGATTTCCCTGCCGGAGATGATGAGAAATGCTGTAATGCAGACACTGCAGGGCAACAAAATGAACATGGCAATCACACCCAAAATCTCACATCGTCTCCATTTTCCTACACATCTCAATTTCATCCGTGATGAGCCAGGCATACTCAAGCACCCTTCTCAAGTTATAGATTTTCATTTAACCACGCAATGTATCTGTTTCTCAACCTGTTCCCTACAGGTAGATTAGCTGGACTTGATACAAACATCAGAGCCCCATGGAAAGCGTCCTTGGCATGATCATGTGTGACTCGAACTCCTGCTGCCCTGAGGCGACTGACATACATAACTCCATCATCCCGTAAGACATCGTACTCGCATGTGAGGACGTAGGTAGGGGGCAGCCCACGTAACCTGGCATCCTCAGCCAGCAGCGGGGCCGCTCTCGGATCCAGAAACCCAGGGTACTTTTTTGCAAGCTCGGAGCTTCCAAAAACAGGACTGGTGTAAACGTAATCTTTTTTCATCTCTTCTGGTAGCAAATTACTCCAGTTTACAAACTGAAACAAATGTCCTGATTCAGCTGGGACATGACTGTTGGAGGTCATTGCTTCCCTGAGAGAGGAATCAGAAGTAAAATATTCACTCCAGAACCTGACCATAAGTGATTTGGGTAAAATTAGGCCATTTTCATTTTGTTGATAAGATGGCAAATTCAGGTCAAGGGTTTGAAGAGCAGGATAAAGCAAAACATGTGCTTTAAGTCTAGTTGTGACTTCAGAGTCCTCTAGCAGCTGTAAAAAAAATAATAAGTTACACAAAGTCAGTTAAAAAGAGTTGATTCTGTCACTGACATAACACCTTCAAAGTAGAGAATTAAGGCACACATTTTATAATGTAAGAAAAATAAGATTGCCAGTTAAAGCAGGATAATTTAAAAGAAATTCTAAATTCATAGGCAAATCGCCTAAAACAGAATGTTGTATTAAAAATTCTCAAACATTAAATATAATTTCATCTCATTTCTTATATTGAAGGACAATGTTTAACATTATTTTTGAAGCATTGAGATTTTCTGAAGTATTGACATTTTCTTAAGTAATAACACATTTTTTCTAAATTTTCTCTACCTATAGAAAATTCCTATTCCTATAGCTTAAAACTTGAAGATTTCTAAAGTTCATTTAACCATTTCACATAATTCTTAACCTTTCCAGGCAAGATTCATTACAATCTGAACACCTTCAAGAATAACAATACCATACTGACTTACATAAAGTTGAATAAGAAGTGCAAAAGGCACTGAAACTGCTTGTGATCAAGTGACACTAACACTGTCTTTTTTTCACCCCTGCCATTATTTAGCTCTATGAGTCAAATTTCTCAAATTCCCTGTCCAAACAATAAACCTAAGCCAGTTAAAATTTACTTAAGGATGGTTTGATGCCATTAAATGAATAAAGTAAATTTGCTTAATTGGAAACTCAGAAACCTCAGAGTCCTGCAGGCTGCATGGCAACCCATTTATACCAACTATGAAAGATAGCTGGGAGGTCCACTTGTTATAAGCAGAGCTGGTTGTTTCTGTTTCTTTTTGTTTGTTCGTTCTTTTCTAACTAGTCATGAAATTACAAAAAAAAAAAAAAACAAAAAAAAAAAACACACAAAAAAAAAAACCAAGCAAACAAACAACACAAAAAAAAAAAAAAAAACAAAAACAAAACAAAAAAAAAAAAAAAAAAAAAACACGTATTGAGCTAGAAAACAAGACATTTACCTTTTGTACCACAGCTGCAGCTAAGTTGCCACCAGCACTGTCTCCTGCAACACAGACCCTGTTTGGGTCTACCCCATACTGGGAGAGCACACTGCTTTGGAGGAAGAACTTTGTCACTGAATACACATCTTCAAATTGAACTGGAAAATGGTATTTAGGTGCCAACCTGTAACTGTTGAGACAAGCAGAAATACGTTATTCAATAGCAGTCTTCCAATACGTTAAGGGGGACTACAAGAAAGCTGGAGAGGGACTCTTTGTCAGGGACTGTTGTGTTGGGTCAAGGGATAATGGTTTGAAACTAAAAGAGGATAGATATAGATTAGTTATTAGGAATAAATTATTTGCTACAAGGGTAGTGAGACACTGGAACATGTTGCCCAGAGAAGCTGTGGATGCCCCATTCATTGAGGTGCTCAAGACCAGGCTGGATGGGGCTTGGAGAAGTGTGGTCTGGTGGGAAGTATCCCTGCCCACAGCAGGGTTGGAATTAAATGATCTTTAAGGTCCCTTCCAACCCAAACCGTTCTGCTTCTATGAATACTGGAGATACTTGTGGAAAGCATTTTATGTCGTTATAGATTTCAATGAAATATCCACATGGATTTGTGGAGGGAGTTGTGTTTTCTGTCTAAAATATCTAGGATATTTTTATCCTACAGTTTACTCCTTAAAATACTGCAGCTAATACAAATAACAACAATCTGCCTTTTTCTCCTTATGCTTCACTAAGTATCTAAGTAGACCTCTAAGTCTAAAAACTCTTCTCCTTCCAACAAATATTCCCCAGGACCTCCCCACTCAGCAACAACATCCAATAACTTTCAGTATCATTCAATAACATCAACAATATTGGATTTGGACCTGCTCCAGGGTCTTACATAAAGAAAACGCCTGCATCAAGCAGATTCCTCCCATACAGCCATCTCCATTCTTTTGCAACCCAAACAGCAACAACACTCTACAGATTCTACTCATTTTATAATCACACTGTTGCAATCTCCTTTTATTGCAGCCCTGCTGTGCACCATCAAAAACACTCCTGTGATGATCAGTTTCACCAGAACATCACTTTGATTATGTTGTACCTCTCTATGCATATTGTCATCTTTTTTATATCACTGTGTTTCGTGTTGTAAAGTCAAATCATCTTCAACTAGTTCATAGTATCAGCCTTCATGAGCCAGTTTTTTTTTGTTTGTTTGTTTGCTTTGTTCTGTTTTGCTTTTGTTTGTTGCTGTGGCCCAGCACTGTAATAAAAAAAATGTACATGTAAGTGGAACCATAAAGGTGTAACTTATAAAACTCAGTAAATTCTGCTGGCCTATGAAAAGTAAGCAACTCTGGTGTTTTCCTGCAGATGTTTTGGCTCAGCAAAGAAATAAAATGAAAAAAAAAAAAAATCAGTAAAATTTACTCTAGTCACTCTAATGCAAAATGATACAGTTGGGCAAGGCCAACCATATGAAGTTTAACAAGGCTAAGTGCCAGGTCCTGCACTTGGTGCACAATGACTCCATGCAATGCCACATGCTAGGGGAAGAGTGGCTGGAAAGTGCCTGAAAAGTTGCTGGAAATCTGCCCAGCAGAAGGGGATCTGGGGGTATTGGTTGGCAGCTGGCTAAACATGAGCCAGCAGTGTCCTCAGGTGACCAAGAAGGCCAACAGCATCCTGGCTTGTGTCAGAAATCGTGTGGTCAGTGGGACCAGGGAAGCGATTGTCCCCCTGTGCTCAGCTCTGGTGAGGCTGCACCTCGAGTGCTGTGTCCAGAGAAAGGCAATGAAGCTGGTGAAGGGTCTAGAGAACAAGTCTTACAAGGAGTGACTGAGGGAGCTGGGGCTGTTTCTTTTGGAGAAAAGAAGGCTCAGGAGAGACCTTACAGGAGGTTGCAGAGAGCTGGGGATCGGGCTCTTCTTCCATGCACCAAGTGATAAGATGAGGGGAAATGACCTCAAGTTTAACCAGTGGGGAGCTTACGTTGGATATTACGAGAAATTTCTTTACTGAAAGGGTTGTGTGGCACTGGAACAGGCTGCCCAGGGAAGTGGTTGAGTCACCATCCCTGGAGGTCTTCAAGAAACGTGTGGATGTAGAACTCAGTAGCACGGTTTAGTGGTGGACGTGACTGTACTAGGTTAAAGGTTGGACTAGAGGATCTGAGAGGTCTTCTCCAGCCTGAATGATTCTATGGTTCTGTGATACACACCAGGAGCAAATCTGCTGAGTGGGAAGTGACCATGTTCCTGCACCACTTCACACCAGAATTTGAATTTCTGAACAACTTTCAGAATCTGAACAACAAAAGGAAAGCAAGCAGTGCTGGAGAGGCTGGGACAACCTGCCCTAAGATGCCTCCAAACCTTTTACTCGGCAGGGAAGTGCTTCTGTAAAGGAGTAGGGAATGCAGTGTTCCTCCTGTGGTGCCCACAGCTGCCCATGCTGGCGCAGAGCAGAGCAGGGACCTTGGCTGGGGACAGGCTGCTTGCCGTGACCTGCTCTGGGCACCATCATGCTCCTGCTGCCTGCCCCGCTGCACTGAGGGGTGCCAGAAAGTAACTCAGGGCACCGTCCTTGGTCCACCAGACAGGACTTCCCCTCAGCAAAGCAATGGCTGTTGTTATCTCCACACCCCTTCTTTGAAACACAGTTCCATGGCCCTTCATTTTTTATCCAAAAATGTTATCAATATATGCTGGGGTTTAGAGGAGGAGTAATTCCTCAGCTGAATGATTTGGTTCCTATCAAAACTTGAGTTGGAGCATAAACCAGCTTTAATAAGTTAATGGAGTGCTTGTTAACCCTTTTTCTTAAATAGACAATGTAATTATGTCAGCAACAACAGGATCTAGCAGGACAAGCCTGTTTACTAGTGCAGCAGGAAGTCTGCACCAAAAGCAATTCAAGAAAGATATCTTGAATTACCTGCACTGTTTTTCTCTTTGCATACAGCTGTAATCAATAGAGATGTTGCTCAGGTGGTTTGCCCAGCAACACAAAAGCTATCTGATATAATTCGAGAATGACCGAAAATTAAAATCCCCTTTTAAAAGTTACTAGTGAATACCAAGCAGATGATTTTAGTATTACTGTTTATACAAAAGAGCAAGGAGATCAAACACTGCAGATGTTACTTCCTGCTGTTAATAAAAACAGAAAGGACAGCTAGCATCTGTCCTAGCTAGTGAACGCTTGCTATTTGTCTGAGCCCACAGCAATGGGAATTATCTGCCTATCCTGGAGACAGGATTTATTACCCACCCAACATCAAAAAGCAATATCCAAAATAACCACCGATCACAATTCACCACTTCAACCTTGACAGCTTTTGTTTACAAATACTTAAAACTAGAAGAAAAGCACATGATCAAAATAAAATACATTGCAAAATTAAATGGAAATAGATTAACTTATTCCAAACCCTCATTTGATCTGGAAGGAGAATCTCTTACTCGACTGATACGACCACAGCATCTAACTGGCTTGAAGTCCACCTTGACAGAAGATCATAGGATTTCATGCCTGAAATGAAATGAGTCACTTAAAATATATTTCAGTGCATTTAAGAACAAATACACATACAGCTACATCTTCCTCTTGGCAGAAACTTTCAGGTGACTCTGCAGCAGCGTAATGTGACTGTGGCACACGTGGGTTTATCTCAAAGTGTGAATGGGACAAGAGATCCAGCCATCACTTCAATGCTATCCAATAGGATTAAGCATGGAAAAAAATATATGATACATTATTTAAGCCTCCAAGCAGTACACAATGCAAGAAACAAGCAGCACAACAACTTAAGTGAGCTATGGCTTGGTTGTTGGGAACTTCAGTCATATCTACTATAGCTCTGATGCCAGTTTGGGTGATGGCCAGTGATGATAACTTGTCCGTTTATGTACAGCACTGAACTACGGCAACGAGAAGCAGAGGATATGCTCTAGGGGAGGACGTGACTGGGCTTGAGATAGAACATGAAACATTCCCATGAAATAATAATAACTAAAGCATAGCACACAATTAAAACATTTTAGAAAACCCTGTTGGAGTTAATGAGGAAGAACACCGAACATGAGATGAATATTGACAGCACAATTGTAACCGAAGCACAAGAAATGTGCTTGCCCTTCTAGAAGCACATTCATGAGAATGAAAGAAAAAGTAATAGATGACTTCTGATACATCAAAACTCCCTAAAATAGATTTCAGGGGACAATAAATACTCTATGCCCTTCCTGGAGCAAGAGGTATGGGGAAACTCCGGAAAATCAAGCTACTGGGAATGAAAGACCCTTAGTCACTGCATCCCCGTTTGATTTCCATTTCTTTTTTTGTCCTTACATGGAGAGGAGGATTTTTTGTTTGTTTGTTTTCCCTGAAGATACTCAGTTTTGCTCTTCTCTCCAACTAAAACGCCCTAACCATGCTAGTAGCTGCACATAAAATACCATGGCAGAAGTAGACCGCTGAACCAGTTGTTTGTACTCATCACAATGACCACCCTCTCCTAAGCTGTTGCATTTAAACTGGTGAAATACCAGCCTCCAATCCTCTCTGTTGCAATTGGGCCACCGAGCTTACCTGCCTGCCCTACACACCATCCTCCACCATGAAAGTAGATCACTGCCCTCCTCAGCCCACTGGCTGGCTTCCTGGGCAGATACAGGCGGACGGCCACGTTGCTGAACTCCGTGTCTGTCACGGTGACGTTCTCATCAGAGGTCGGTGCAACGTGTTCAGCAACTGTGATCAGCCTCATAACTTCCATGTAGTGCATCATACCCAGCCGATCGGCAACCTCAGCCTAAAGCCCAAGAGAAGAGAAAACAGTATTTTAAACAGTCTTAGTCACTCCAAGGTCACACTTCCATAAAGCCACTTAACGTTGCACAAGTCTATAAAGTTGCTGCAGAAGTCCCTAAGCCAAATGTTGCTAACTCAGACTGTCAATGCTGCCCAGTCCAAGCTGTTCAACTCCCTTCTCTCCTGCTATTTCAACATGAAACTCAGTCCCAGAAGTGCCTCCAAGGCAGCCTGGGGGACATGGCTGCTTGGTGTTGTTAAGATACCAGGTATGAACTGGGATGAGCTGACTGGAAGCCTTGATGGACAAGGACGTGACAGAGGATCTAGAAGAAAGCAGAATCAATTGAAGCCTCCCCAGACCCCATACAAGAGTCTGCTCAACGAGCAGCCTGTGTCAGGGCAGACCATGAATTCCCACAAAGTCTCTGACCAGAAGAGAAATTCCACTAGGCCAGCAGAGGACCCTGCACCAAGAGGGGAAATTAGGATGATGTTAACCAGTAGCTGTTTGCCCAATAAATGCACTACTCTTGAGAATATCCATAAATTAATGCTTTTAGAAAGGTCCTTTTTCCCAGGAATCTTGACCCTAGCTCGGCTGTACAGCAAGGCTGGAACCTTTGGCACCTCCAAGGTGGGAAAAGCAGGAGGTCAAAGTGCAGGTGTGTGGCAGCTGTGGGAAGGGCAGGGAAAGCTTTCCAAACAGACTTCATGGAAACTTCCTAACAGAAAAATGACGTGCTCAGGGAGTTGGGAACTGCCAACCGTTATTACTGTTAAAGCAGCTTCCTTTGAAAGTCAGTGTTCCGAAACATTTATTATGAAATCCTGTGATTCTAGATTAGTTCACAATTATTTTAAGATGCTAAATAAAATAAAAACAAAAAACAAGACCTAACAAGGAAATCTGCTGGCATTCTGAAAGCTTCAAAAGCATATTTATCACCTTTGGCTTCTCTAATATCATGACAATTTACATGGATTAAAACATTTTAGAATCCTCTTATTCACAGACTATTTTATAGCTTGAACTTAAAACACTTTTCAAGAATTGTGTTGGCTTTAGGTTGTATGCAATCCTTTGTATATCACAGTGAATCTAAGCAAAAACATTCCTAAGGGCATTTGCTACCAACTGTGCCAGGAATGCAGATTTTAGCTACTCATTCCAAAACCAGTCACACACTAAAGGAGGTGCCACGTTTCCTCACAGCTGCCTTGGGAGAATTGCTACAAATACAGATGTGGCCAGAGTTTGAACATACATAAATTTTTTTTTTTAAAAAATATATTTTTCATTAGATTAAATGGTGTTTTAAGGAAACTTACTTCTCACATCGCTTATAAGATATTTGAAATGTATTCTGGAAATACAAAAAAAAATGACAAAAGAGTAACGTCATAATGGAAAAAAAGGTTTCATTTTCTATATTGTGAAAGATGCTTAATTTTTTATTTAAAGATCATATTTGGAAGAATTATATTATCTAATACATTAAGGAAGAGGTTTTTGTTGCTTTTTTGTTGTTGTTGGGTTTTATTTAAGACAAACAAAGGGTATTAAAGAATACAATTTTAAATTTGCTTGAAAGCCATTTGCTATCTGGGTGTCTGAAAGTGGACTAAGAACTCAGATTTCTCATTTCAAGCAAAATCAGAAATTTCAAACCAATTTACATTACCTTTTGGTATAACGTGCACTGCTCTTGTACATATTCTAGTTAAACATCTGAAAACTGAAAGGCTGATGTTCTGTGACAATAGGAGAACTTACCTAAGTTTCAGGTCAGCATACAATTATTTGTTTGAACAGGCATAAATAATCCCATAACTGCACTGATAACTTTGACTAGCTTTCTGTGAGAAAACAACAACATTTGCTGCATTCTATAAGTTTACAATATTCGGAATATTTTGTTTTCCTCCTGAGATGTTCCCTGCTTCAAAAGCAAAGCTTTAGAACTGCTTTCATACCATACAAGTCATAGTAATAAACTGGAATTGAATATGGTCTTATTTTCTGATTATGGTTGCTGTAAATGGTTATATATATACATAAAATCATAATTTTCTACATTTTATAAGCTCAATGAAGACAGATATGTACACACGCCAAAACTTTTTATCTATAGAGATTACACAGTTTACTTAAGTGTTTCTTAGTTGTAGTATTTTCCCTTAGGATTAGCATCTTGTAAAATTAACTATACAGGTCAAAGTGAATTCTGTCGTAATTCCTCTGAGCTTGTGAAAGACTCCCACATGATGGTAGCAATTCCCTCAAGAATGAAAGTCAGAAGGAAATCATGCTTTCATCTGAAAATTCTCATTGTCACAGATCCGAGGTTAATGCATGTTACAGACTAAGAGAAAAACTAACCACTTTAGTTTTTTTTTCTGTTCCTTATGCCTCAGAAATCATTTTTCACAGTTGCTTTCTAACACAGGTAGCCAGTTAATTTTTGTGTTCATGTTGGGGTCCTTACATGACAACAAAGAAAAAGAACACATACACACAAAAACAAACAAACAAACACAAAACAAAAACCAACCAACCAAACAAACAACAAAAAAAACACCGTATAGACAAGTTGTGCTTTGGCAGGCAGAGAACCTAACGTTATTTTAATGTCTTACTCATCTGAACTGGCGATAATTCAGGTGGAGGCACCCCTCCAGGTGAAGCATTCTGACAGCTGAGCATGAAGCCAGGCAATGTTTGTGAGATGGGCTGTACAGAACTCAGATAAGGATTTCACTGCTTCTGAGCAGCAAGACAAATAATGGAGAAAGCTTTGGGGGATTTCGCAGTGCTGCAGCTAGGGAAACATTTAGCTATGAAGAAAGATGTCTTGCAATTTATACAGTGCATACATTTTATATTATGTGCATATTGTACTGCCTGAAAATGTGAAGAATTTTGTTACCAAACAGAAAATAGCCAGTTTATTGTCATAGGCTATTCCCCATCTAGATAGCAAGCAGGCTTGATTTGTTATAAGTACGCAAACTGAGACATTCCCAGCCTCTCTTCTGTAATAGGATTTGTACAAGTGGGATCTCCTGTGTGCCACAGGCTGGTTGTACCAGTGAAACCTCACCCAGCTGAAATCCTCCACATGTCAACCAGCTGCAAAATCTAATCGTGAGCCTCTGACTTGCCTCTGGGACCTCCAGTACCTACTGCAATGCTGATTTTGAAATCACAGATTTCAAAAGAGGCCTGGAACCAGCACAGGCTTTATGCACATCAGCTGTTCATCCACAGCACAGTGCCGATGTAGAGAGCGAACACCTTGCAGTGAGTGAAGACCCCACATGATGGAACCCTCTGACAGCACTGGGAATCTGGGTCAAGAAGCCCAAAATCAGAGACAATTCAGAGATCAGAATCTGGACAGCTCTCAGGTACCTTTTAAAGCAAGGAGGAGGACTGAGATCTGCTATTTGACAGCTTTTGTTGTATATCACTGTGGGAGCTTCCACAGGAGACCCTCCTGGGCAGGAGTTTTCAATGGTGGCAGTATTATTTCCCCTTCCTCAAATGAAACTGAGGGATTTAGACTAAAATAGGTGGTCTCTTCAAATCCAGAGCTACAATTAAGTGATTACAAATTGTTGCCCTGTAATCGGATGACCATTCAGAATGTATTTAGGAGGCTTTACAGACATCTTAAAAACTCCAAGGAAGCTATCTTTGTCAAAGCCCCACAGGATTATGGTTCTGCTCGAGATCTGAGCACAGTTATAAAACATGCTTGCTCAACACCACTGCTACTGATAGCGGACTTCGGTTTAACGGGCAGCTAATGCAACAGCCACGGAAAACACCAATTCCATTTAAAAGTGAAAACACAAAATGCTCCAGCACTGAAAGAGCCTGCATCTGCTTCCTGAGCACTTGGCACTGCCGTGCTGAAGGCTACAGGTTTGACCAAATGACCAGGCACAAAGCGTTGTTACCGAAATGAACTATCTATAGACATTTTTTTATAGACTACCTCCAAAAGAGGATTTAAAAGGGGAAGAAGCAAGCCAGCATATCAAAAGCTGGCAGAGGTAATGCTCAGTTCCATGACCGTACAGTTGTCAGGAGGGCCTTTACATGCTTAGCAGCTGCCCCTCTTCCCTAGGCGAGGCACACTGGCTGTTCCGTACACGCCGCTGTTCTCCCCGCAGCTGAGCACAGGGAGGGGGAAGCCCACCCTGCTTGGCACATCCCCGCCACCACAGCCACGGTGCTCGGCCCAGGAGCTCTGCAGGGGCCCACGAACTATTTCCAGTGATCACACTGTTCCTGTGTGCACAGCCGTACATAAGCCTTCGAAGCTGCATTAAGGATACCCACCACTGGCACATTTCATTAGTGACATAATTAACAGATGAATAAACGCATTAAGCATGGATTTTTCTGCATTTCTCCTGCTTCTGAGAAAAATGAGTAGATGAATAGCAGATTGCCCCTATATCAAAAGTCTTACAGAAATCAACAGCTTTGTATTTGAAAATGATGTTATATGATTTTATACTCTTTCACAACAGAAAACAGCTTTCAAGCATTTTCCCAACACCTGATTAATCCCACCTTTAGGAATCAATTAAGAATTCTTGTAATACCAGTGGGAAGCAGAGAAGAAATGCAGAAATGAAAGAGTTGGTGACAGAACAGGACTGAAAACCATTGCCCAGCTTGACTCATCATCATTCACTTTTAAGCACAGCCCGAGCCTTTGGGTCCACAGCAAGCAAGCATTTCAGGAGCACCTGTCAAGCAAAACTAGAAACCTCTCCCATGGCTCCTTAAAGCCTCCTTTCAATGGATTTTTATGGTGGAGAAAAAAGCAGCCTCCCAGAAAGATGTCTGCAACACTGAGTGCCCCTGTTCCCCGCTAACCTTCATCTTTGACCTTGGTTTTAGCATGGTCACAGTGCTGCAGCCACGGCTGCGTGTTGGGGGCAGGCTGGATTCAAAACAGCTCCCAGTGCAATGTACTTCAGAGGTGGGAACTACAGAACCTACCTATGCTTTGTGTACAGGTTTGCTAATTATTTAAATACGTATGAAATAGCTGCACAAAATGACTGAAATGAAGCAGAATCCAAGGCTGTAATATGTAAAAATAGCATGGAACAACATAAGGACCACACTGCCAGTAAATATTACCATGCAACTGCAGACAGGGTATAATACCACTTCCTTTCCAGACTGCAGCATATGGTTCTGTGCTGCTTAGCCAGAAACCCTTTTTTTTTTCTTTTTTAAGCCAAATTATGGCTAGTTCACAACCATAGTTTAAAAACAAACATACAAACAAAAAAAATCTTCCTGCTCTAACTTTAACACTCCTCTAATTAGCTTTGTTTATTTTTAGGCTCATGCTATCAGTAGATTTCTATGAAACCACAAAGGTAACAGCAGTTACAAAGTACTCTAGCTTTCCCTCTGCTGACATCCAACATAACATTTCTGAGGTTGCTCAATATCCAGGTTCTGTGACACACAAAGTTCAAGGGGCAGTGTTTCAGCTGCAAAGGACCATACCACAAAATACACTTGTTTGCATTTACATATCCATATTCACATTATATATCACATCTCTAGTTACCCCCATTGTCCTTTTTTTCCGAGACTGTGCCGTTAACCTTTTCTAACAGTCTCTTTATAGTCAGCCACACAAAGTTCAGGGCTCAATTTCAGATACTACCGTCCCTATATACTGCCTTATATTATACATGTATTACAGGTATGTATTGCCATGTATCTATTGCCCACAGAGCCACTGATAACATCCACTGCTCTGGATCTGTCTCTCCCCAAGCCAGCGTGCTCTCCTGAGCCCGTACCAAAGAGAGGTCTGAACTCACCACATGCCCAACGGTCCTAAACAGAGAGGTTACGAGCATCACCTTCCAGCCCTCCTCGATGTTCTCTGGGATGGGGGTATAGATGTAGTATGAGACAAGGGCAGAGGCGAGGCAGAAGCACAGCAGTTTAGCCCCCATGTTCTACGTGAACTTTTCTTCAGGACTGATCAGATTAAGCGCTCTCACTGACTCTTAGCAGCTACAAGCCAGCACACACAGATAGGGCAAAGTTAATCCCATGTTATGTTTGGATCCCGCCCAGGAGGTGATTTCTCATCTGATCACTCTGCACAGAGGTTATTCTGCCATGCTGGGAGAAAACACATTTCTTTAGCAAGGCATTCAAGCACTCAAAGCACATAGAGTCAGCACTTTAACTCCAGATTAAACATCAAGGCTCATATACCGCAGTCACCCTCTTTTTGGCATTCGGAACAGTAACCAGCAGGAAGGCTTCAGAAGAAAAAAGGCAGTTGGGGGGAGGAAAAAAAAAAAAAAAAAGGAACTGGGTGGGTCTTGTGAACCAAGGGCTGCTGCAAAGTGACAGTCAAAGACAAAGAGATGTATTGAATATCCAGGAGCTATTAGCTTTATCATCATAACGTAGCTGTTCAAACACATCCCAGTTTACAGAGATACCAAACAGCATCAGACAAAAACCACATATATCCTCTGTCATTTCTCAAACAAACACACACTCTGGCAGGAGTGCACCCTTTATCGTGTGCTAACACATCAAATCAGTTGTGTAATAACAGGTGCGGCAGAAAAACTAGATAGGCTTCTAGGTAATATTTGAAAGACTAGATTTAATTGCTGCTATTCTCAGGATGAAGAGATTTCTATCCATCTCCCACAGGTAACCACAGCCACACAGACTGAATTGGGAAAGATAAAATAGGAAAAAATTCCATTAAGGAAATGTTACAAGCTCTCACACACAAGGAGTGGGCAAGAGTCCCGCTTTAGACATAAACGTTTAGGTTCCTTCCACATTGTCCCTATGTGCTGTCCTTACCCTGAAGTCACCTTTGGCTTAGGCATGTACTCAGTGCTTAGCTTTTGGATACTGCAATCTCCTCATCTCGCACAGCCAGCCTTCTTGTTCTCCAGTGAACTATTGCAGCAATTTACCCTAATATACAGTAGCAAAAGTAAACAATGAATTGAATTCACCATCTACCCAAGGCAATGGGTAATCTTCAGAACCCTTCACTGCTACCCATCAGCTTCCAGTTTTCTGTTGTATCAGTCTCCCACCACTCACCGTTTGCTAAAGCAAAAACTAGTTTTGCTCCCCTCCCTGAACATAACATACCAACAAAAGAATAATTCAGTGTGCCCCCCTACATATCTTCTGTATTTTCACAGATGCTAGCTACTACTGCTTCAGAAAATAAGGAAAGAAAGAAAAATAGTAATAATGCAAATAGACTAGAAGACAAGGCTAAAACTGCAGTGGAAATAGAAGCAGACCACAGCCCTGCCTGGAGCTAGCATCCTCTGCAACAGAGCCATGCCCTTCAAGGCTGTCTGACAGGACACATTGCACAGCCATGGAAAGATTTGCATGAGCTAGTTCACACAATGACCTGCTACCTCAAAAAATCAGTCCTGCTAAAAATAGTATTGCTATATCAGACTGAATTTTCAAGCTGTGGTTTGGAAATAAGAAATTAATGAGCAGGTGTAAGTTGTAAGCCCATATAAGTAATACCTCTTCACCTCCCTTCCACTTGTTTTGCATTCTATGTACTCACTGCATCACTGTGAAAATATCATCCAGATCAATGAAGTTCTGTTCCAAAGCACAGCCTGGTATCTATTTGTTTTAGGAGAACACACCATGAAACAGATCTCTCCAAAGCAGAGAAGTATTTGCAAGGCAGTCCAGCAAAGAAATATTGTGTAATCTAAATGAGAAATAACTGAGTATAACCTGGTTGTGACTTGAGCTTTAATGATTATATAGTCCAAAGTACAAGACCTAAACAAATTGATCAAAAACCGTAGTATAATCCTCTCATGCACATTTAAGGCCTGCTGTTGTCAGTACAGTATATTTCTAAAGAAAAAGACCAAGTAAGTTTGAAAAAGTTATTAGCTTTTTATTGCTAAATAATTATTTTTCCTTGGTTTTTAATGTAGATTCAGTAGATGTTTTGGGGCACTCAGGCTCAGGGGTTAGGATACAAGAGTGCAGGAGTACAAAAAGCAGGAGTACAAAAGCACCTCACATCAACGTTCTGGAAAGATAAATCATGGCCTCGTTTGTGGGTTTCTTTGTTTTGCTTTGTTAGCAAAATGCAAGGGTGGTATAAGCTTATTATCTTTATGTATCAATCATTACATTTATTCCACGCCTATAATTTTAACTTTCTGCTTCTTTTGAAATGACAAATAGTCTTGAAGTTTTAAACTTTCAGCATCTTTCTTCTCACAACTGTACTGCAATTTGTAGGTCCCTAATACACACCAGTTTGGACCCATGCCACCTCGCTTCCCCGTTGCTGCCTTCATTTTTTCCACCAGCTTGTTTGCAAGGTGGTATTTTGCATATCATTTGCATGAACTATACACAAATGTAGTAGACTGATTGTCTGAATTGCTGTCATACCCAAAGTTGGACTGGGACACATTCAACAGATGACAACTCTTCGGTCGCATGGGATGGTCACCTGCAGCTGCCCCGGCCCTGACCAGCCCCACCCGGGACCCCCACCACGGACACCCAGTGCTTGCCCAGGCTGTGCCGTGGGGGTCCCTGTACAGGCTGGTTTGCTTTGAGCACAGATTTCCATGGAGCAGCAAAGGGCTGCGGAGCACCCTTGAGAGGACGCTGTGAAGGAATTTCACGGAAACTTTGCCAGCCCCCATCTGAAAGCAGATCTTGAACAACAGGGGCAGGTCGATGAGCTGACAGCACATGGACCAGCACCTGCAGGAGAGCAGGAGGGCAGTGAACGCCCTCAAGCTGACCCAGGGCAGCCCTGGAGCCAGCCCAGGCTACGGGACAGGCGCTATGGGGCTCGCTGGGCGCGTTGCCCACCGGCACTGGCTGCACCAGAGGTGCTCCTCGTGGCCAGGGCTGCGGGGCCCTGCTGTTAAAGACAGGCCTCTAGCTTGACCCCATGAGGACTGTGGTGTTCCCAGACATTCATGCTATGGGTAATGTCTTCATGGGGTGCGGGCTAACGGCTGACGAGAACAGCAGCCGGCACCCACAGCAGGCACTGCTGAAGCCACTGGGCCACCTATGGCTGTCTGTCCCCCATCCCTCCCTCCTGCGTCCCTCCCAGGGCCACCAGTGACCCCCTGCAGACCCCGTCCCCACATCCCACCCAGCAGCACCGGGGCGAGAGAAAGGCAGCAGTGCACTGGTTAGTTATGCCCCAGCCCCGAATTAATTTTCTGATCTGACAGATTTTAAGAAATAAACTAAAAAGCCACTGGGAGGCAGCATAACATTGTTTTTTTTTCTTTCCACTAAAACTAGCGTATTCAGGAGCATCCAAACACTGGTTCGAAGTACTGGTTCTGTAAATGCTTCTCTCAGTGCTGTGAGGATCATCTGTGGCCATCCTCCAGGGACAGAGAATGAAGAGAAAGGAGAAAAAAACACACTGGGGCCAGTAACGATTGCCCATGGTGCCCTTGGTGAGACAAGTTGCAAACTTGTAGTAATAAGCACAAATTTCCTCTGATGTCTTTTAGTATCTGACTGACATCAACTGATAATTATGATTGTAATTAGATCAGTGCAAGGCTGGAGGTGCCCTGTGGAAGGCAGCAGCCACACATCTGCTGTAAGTAGGTCTTAATCCAGTACACAAACAGGCACCAACAGCTAGTCAGGAAACAGCTGAAAAATGATCGATGTTAAAGCAAACAACATAAAATCCACGCCAAACCCAGATACACAGTTAACAGTGAGAATTCAAGCAGTGGCTATTTTGTGATTTATCAAGCCATGCTCCCCTCAGTGCTGAGCTGCTGCGTACTGCTCTGCAATCAGCTGCAAACTGTCCTGAAACGCTGGTGTTGCATTTGTCAGGGCTCCAGTGCTTGCACTGCACACCAACATGTTCTACAGCCTCACAGTAGCTTATTACTTCTCACCACACAACCAAATCACCCCTTAATCTTGCCCCAGTAAATAAAGTAGCTGAGACTCGTGCCCTTCTCTTTAGAGGATTAAGAGGATTAGCAACAAAGATGAAATAGGATTTCATTGCCCAGAGGTGAGAACAAATCCTTGGCATGCCAGGACACAGCATGTGTTTGAGGAGAGAGGCAAGGCCATGAGCAGGGGCATCAGCACCACTCAGGACCACGCGTCCGAAGACCAGTGAAACCCACAGGGACAGCAGTGGGGGAAGGCAGGAGGAGACCTGCTCCCAGCCAGGCAGGACACACTCAGCATCACCCAGCACAGCCGTTTTTCCCCCATCTACCACCCTGGCTCTCCTGGGAGCAGCTAGAGATGTGCCCTCCGCCAACCCTACCTTTTGGGATGTGATATAAGCCAGCTTTCCCATGGCCAGGGCATGGGTAAATCAGGTGGCCAGGAGGTGGATCTGTGCACTGAGCAGCTGCTGAATTTGCCTGCTCAGAAGGGCACACCAGTGGGGAGCACGCAGGGCTCAGGGGGAAAGCCCAGCGTGCTGGAGGGCCCTGGAGGGCAGCAGCCCTCCGCCGCTGGTGCCCCTCTTCTTTGGCTTTTTGGCTTCGGGTCTTTCAGGCCAGAACTGCCCTGGCCAGCAAACGGCTGGATGGACTTCTTGTTGCCTTTTTTTTTTTTTTTTTGACAGAAACATATAAATAGTGAATCTCACAAAAAAAAACAAAAAAAAAAAAACAAATCGGCTCACTTATTCCTCATATTCTTTTTCTGCCCAAACAAGGCTCAAGTGTACCTCCACCCATTCTCTACAAAACAGGCTTGAAGATGCCAGCAGTGTTGAATATACATGGTGGGATTCACTCTGGATTAAACAGCTTTTGGCTTGTTTTCAGAAGCTAGCAATGTATTTCACTGAATCATAAAACCACAGCCTAGTTAAAGTGATTTCTACTTTTATCTTATCTTCTTTGTTATTATCTCTACTTTTTAATGACGCCTATAGAAACGGATTTTGGCCTATTTTCATAAAATGAGGACATGGCACTCTCAAGATGTTTTATAAAAGAGGATTTGGATATAGTTC